TTATTTATTTAATTAATAGTATACAATATGGAAATATTAGTATTATTATTAGTTAAAATAAATATAAGTGAAATAAGGGTAATTTGGGCATTAAGAGGAGTTAGTAAGGGTGTTATGAGAAAAGCCCAATTGTGTGGCCCAAGACTAGGTTTGACAAAAAGAAATTCTGAAGGAAATTAGGATTCATTTTGTTAACCGTGAAAAGTATTGAGGCCAGAGCTCTGAGGAGATGATTGGAGGCAGAAGCTTCGAGAGATTCCCTGAAAGATTGAGAAGGCTTTGATCGACAATTAATGTATGGGGAGTATAGCCTTTCATAATTTTCCATGTGTGACTTTCAGTGTATTTAAGGTTGATTTAAGGGTTTAAGAGTTTTGAGGCGAATAATGAGAAAAAGGGATTTTTGGCCTTCGTGGCCTAAATCGATTATTGAGAATTTTAACTGTAAGGATTTAATTGGAAAAAAGGGAAACTAGGTCTTCGTGGCCGAAAACTATGATTTGACTCTAACCCTGTAGGGAAATTTGATAGTGAGAACCCTGATGGTTGTGGTGTAGTGGTAAGTCTTCCTGACTGTTAGAGTATAAATATGAGAAATAGTGATCTTTGCCCTTCGTGACCTAAACCTATTAGTGTTGAATCTAACCTGGAATCCATTGGGGAAAAGGAAAAGGTAGGCCTTCGTGGCCAAAACCTTGAATTGTTATATGTCTAACCCTGAAGGGATAGGAATATTTGATAGTGAGTAACTATGATGCCTTAGGGTGTAATTGAAGTAAAAATTGTGATTCAGGGCGTGAATATGTTACATGATTGGCCTAGTAAACCGTAGGTTTTGTGCCTTTATCGTCGTAAGACCTTAGGGATGATTTAGATATGTTTTGGGGGCATTGGAGAAGTGAATCGTGAGGACTTTTGGCTTGATTTAGGTTCTGGAGTGTAACATCGTTTTGCAGTCTGTCACGACTGTTCATGTTTTCGGTCGAAATCGTTTTGGACGTAACTTTTAATCCGTAAGTCCGTTTTGTCCCCCGTTCGAAGTGTTGGAAAGCTAATGAACAGAGCTATAACATAGGAGATAATGGAATTGGTTTCCAAATATTTTTATATCTAATTATGTTTGAGAAGTCAGTTGTGTATATGTTCTATTAATGAATCATGTTCTGGTTCAATGATGTCTTGATGTTTTGATGCTGCAATTTTCATGATGAATTACCATGAGGGTAAATGTGATAATATGTGATAATATGATGAATTAACATGAGTAGTACTGTGAAGTTTATGTGATTAATAGGCGATAGTATGAGAATTACCGCGAGTATTAATTATGAATTAATATGTGATAATATGATGAATTAATATGAGTATGACTGTGAGCGCTATGTGATTTATATGATGATTTCTATGATGTATGATGATGATTATTATGATGAGCTATGATGACATGACGTATGATGATGATTATGATGATGAGCTATGACGTTTGATGATGATGGATATGATGAATGATGGTACACTTGTGATGTTGTTATGAGGATGATTTGTGACGTGTGCATCATGCATTCATGTGCATCCGAACTTCGGTTCAGGACCTCGATTACTTTGGCTTCAATCCCATTGTGTGAATGTGAAGTGTTTTGATGTGCTCCGATTCTCAAGTAGAATCGATCCTATTGATGGGGATCTATGGAGGGTTGATGGCCCAGTGTCCATCGCGTTGTGATGATTGGTACCACATTCATTGAGTCTTGTTGCATTGCATTTATGAGTCTTTTTGTTTGAATTATGACGTTGTGGACTTTGAGGCATATTGAAGGATATGAATGTGTTGAATATGATTATGATACCATTTATATGTTGATTTTATACATTGATTATTATGAATTGTTTTACTCACCCTGCCTATTTGAATGTTACCTCCACGTGGGTAACGTGCAAATGATCAGGTTTAGCTGTGGACGCCGTTGAGGATTTTTGAAGTCTTTGAGTTGTTAGTCTTTTGGTTAACTTAGAGGGTCTTTCTATGATATGTAACATCGGGTTGGGTTCTTTTGAGTTAAACTATATACTGTTGAGTTATTTTGCTTATCTTCCCGTATGAGGAAAACCTTGATTTATACCTTTTGAGTTCCGCTGCTTTGTGCAATTTGATGTATTTTGAGAAAACCCGTTGTACACGGAGCATTGACTTATTTTGAGCTATGGAGAAATGTATACCCTTTGAGGTGATTTTTATTGAGTTAAATAATTTACTCTGATATCTGTATTATTTTGCCTTAATAATTGTGGGGTAAAAAAAAGGGTGTTACACCTCGCCACACAGTTAACTTCTAGGCTGAAGGCTCCCATTCGAAGATCACATTCATGAGTTTTGCATATGTCTTTCACATCTTTGAACTCTTTGGTCATGTAGTTTTTTATCTCATTGTTCACTTTCTCCTCACCCTACATGAACCCTTGTATGATCTATGCATCACAAAATTGACCACATAAGCACAACAAAAACTTGATTAAATGGGTTATAAGCTATAAGGCACCTACTTACTAACACAAACACCAGACATAACTTTAATATGACAGATAAAAATTAATAATAATTTAAAATATGTAGAGATATTATATTGTTAAGTCTTCATCTAAATTGTCTATACTACATAGATTATAAGTTTTCCACGTACCTGAACCCATTCAAAGTACATCAGGCTACAAGTGATGATGAGCAGGTGACACTCCATATTATTACATGTTGTAAGAGCATACTTGCTATATTTGATTGACACTAAGATTTTTATGGACAAGAGTGCCACTTATAAAAAATGTCATCTATCTTCGGTACTTCGAGGATTTCGATCAGATCCATGAGTACAACTGGAGGGCCACTTGTTTGGTCTACCTATACTCAAAGTTGAGAGAAGGCTGTATGTGAAAGACGAAGCAGGTCACATGCAGCATCCACTATTGACGGTAATAATTATTGGTCTTTTAATGTTTCTTTGTCATTTTCATTTCATCTTTGCAAAGCTATTACTCATAATTCGTGTGCTCCCAACTTTTCATTTCAGGCTTGGATCCTCCAGCACTTCCCACGCATCTCCAATTGGACGAGTGTACCGACTTACTTTGAGGATATGCCTTGTGCTACTACTTTTTCTATGCTCAGAGGGAACCATGCAGCTAAGCCTTTTAGAGTGTATATTGACCGTTTGGTTTCCAAGGACATGCACTTCAACAATTATGTCGATCACCATGAGACGCAGCCATTCGACAGGTATATTAAATGGTTTTTTAGGGTGTCACATTCATACATAATGCATGTTGCTCCAAGAGATCCGCTGAGGCCAGCTCATCAAGAGATACTAGAGGAGGAGCATACACAACTAGATCATGCTAAGGATGCCTTGCCTATATGATGCTGCATAGTGGAGATTGTGTAGATAGACATTGACACATGTATCTTCTCTGATGGGCCTAATATGAGGCAGCTCCTATATGCCATCATGACGTAGGCATATGGGGCATTGATGTATCAGAGACAGCGCCAGAGGACGAAAGGTATTGATGGCCAAGGAGGTATAAGAGCCACGTGAGGCAGAGGAGATGTAGTCAGACATACACAATAGTGCATTAATATATAATAGTAGTACTATGATTGTATTTTATTTTAACATCATGCTACTTTATCAATGTTCTAGACTTTTTTGACATTTATTGGTCTTTTATTTATATATATATGACATTTTTGGACCATTTGTATTTATGTAGGTCAATTTTTTCATTTCGATTGTATGGTTTGAATCTGCATCTGAATACACATAAACAAAACATAACATGAAGAGTTCTATTCTGATACGTTACGGAGATGTATATTCATAAAATTCATGGAGATGCATCTCCGGTACAATACATTTGTATAATGGTTTTGAAGTGTGATGCACAATATGTGTTTTAAATTGTTATGGAGATGCATCTCCGAAATATTTTAACGTTCAATCATAATTTGGTGCGTTCGGACATGTGACATATAATTAATATTTAGTTAATTTTATATACATAAAAACTATAGTAATGGAGAAAATGGAGAGACAAAGAAATGGAGTGGATGCCAAACCATTTATGTATTTTTGTGTGGTGGTGGGTAAAAAACATAAATGGTGCATTAATAAATTCCCTTCATTAAAGGTCATGTGGGCCACATTATCTTTGAATTATTGTTTTCATTATTAGGTCTTGTTGGCCACTTGTTTGTAAAGGGTGATTTTTAATTTTATTTGAAGTCTTTATATATATATATATATATATATATATATATATATATATATATATATATATATATATATATATATATATATATATATATATATATATATATATATATATATATATATATATATATATATATATATATATATATATATATATATATATATATATATATATATATATATATATTTTATATAAGAGAATGTAGTTTGTTGAGAAGGACATTCGAAAATTGAGAAATTAAATTTAAAAATCCTGAGCTTCCCGTAAACTCTTGCAAGTATTTTTCAATAAAATCATATCTTTATGTTTTCTTTCACATTTAGCATAACTTTGATTTTCGATCTATTTTAATAATTATTTTTCGATCTATTTTAATAATTATTTTCACTATTACTTTAGTTCTTAAAGAGTTTAGGAGAAGACAATTGAGCTGAAGTTGATAATGTAGTACTGAAGCTGCTAGCTTGGTAAGTTATATTAATAAAATGGTGGATATTGAGCTCCAGAGGATCTCAATCCCTAGAATTTTAAGGGGGAGTAAGAGACATTAGGTGTAAATGCATGCAGCTAACTCAGTAAGTAAATAGAATATTAACCCCAGAAAAGTACATGGAGTCCTCATTTTTAATCTGTGACAAAGTTTGCGGTGAAAATACAACTCACATAACACATGACAGCAACAAAAACCTTTTGACTGAGACTAAAAGCTCTCTTTTATTTAAAGCAACAACAAGTTCTCATGCTTCCCAACCCCTAAGGACAGTAGCCCTCGCCACACGGTTAACTCCTAGACTGAATGCTCCCATTCGAAGATCACATTCATGAGTTTTGCACATGTCTTTCACATCTTTGAATCCCTTGGTCATGTAGTTTTTTAGTTCATTGTTCACTTTCTCCTCATCCCACATGAACCCTTGTATGTTCTGTGCATCACAAAATTTACCTCATAAGCACAACAAAGACTTGATTATATGTGTTATAAGCTATAAGGCACCTACTTACTAAGACAAACACCAGGCATAACTTTGACATGACAGATAAACATTAATAATAATTTAAAATATGTATGCACATCGTATCGTTAAGTCTTCAATCTATATTGTCTATGCTACACGGATTATAAGTTTTCCACATACCTGAACCCATTCAAAGTAACTAACAGTAACACCTCCTGAATTTGCATATATGTCAGGGAGGATCACAACACCCTTTTTCTTTAGAATCTGCAAGTTAATAAGGTAGTTAAACAACATTGCATTCATTTCTTCATTCTAAACTTGTTTGAGAAAGAGAAGGAAAGAGAAATATGAAACTAACTTCATCAGCCTCTGGATCAGTTGGGTGATTGGCTGCTTCTACTATAAATTTTGCCTTGATTTCATTTGCATTTTCCCTTCAACAATACCAAAAGAATAACAAAGTGAATTAGCCTTAGATCTTTCCTTTGTTATCATTCAACTTTACAATAGAAAAGCAGCACCTGTTGATGACACCCCCAAGAGCGGCTGGTATTAGAACATCACAGTCTTCTAGCAATATTGAGTTTGAATCAATTGAATCAGCGCCATGAAATCCTTTTACTCCCCTGGTCTCCTTGGTATGCTTGAGTAGGCTTGGAATGTCAATACCTTTGCTGTTCTTTATGGCTCCGGTTATGTCACTCACTGCAACAATTTTTCCACCTTTCTCATCAATCAATTGTGCAGCCCAAGACCCTACATTACCAAAACCCTGAAAAACAACATACAAAATGCGATGAAAATGCTAAAACCGAAAACTTCATTGAAGCCGTTCTTAAATAAAAGGCATAGCCACAGAGGTTTGATGAGGCATAAAAATACCTGAATAACAAACCGTTGTCCAGATACAGTTTTTCCGTATTCATTCAGTAAAGCCTCTGTTGCAAAGAGGACTCCTCTTCCTGTAGCTGCATCTCTACCTAGAGATCCACCAAGATCCTAGTTTGAAAATGAAAATTGAATGGTTTATTAAGCATGGTTTTCTCAGTTACCATGGGAATGAAGCTAGAATCACAAACAAACAACTGCTTACTATTGGCTTTCCTGTCACAACTGCAGGTGAGTATCCGTGAAATTTGGAATATTCATCAAGTATCCATGCCATGGTCTGTAAGATAATTTGAATTCCAAAAGTTCACATTAAAGTCATTATCACAACATTAAAGTTTCATAAATTTCTAAGTCTGTGCAGTACTAACCTGTGGTCCTGTTCCCATATCAGGTGCAGGCACATCCATGTGAGTTCCAATCAGATCATGAATTTTCTGAGTAAAAACTCTGGTAAGTCTTTCTAACTCAGATATACTTAGTTCTGAAGGGTTACACCCTATCCCTCCTTTTGCACCACCATAAGGTATGTTTGCTACAGCTGTTTTCCATGTCATTAGCTGTGCTAAAGCATTCACTTCATCTGGATCAACCTAATCAGTCCAATAAACCATTCAGACTCAGAACTTCAAATTTCTAGTTTTGCTTGTACAAGATTTCGTAAAATATAAATAACCTCGGGATGGTATCTGATCCCTCCTTTCATAGGGCCTCTAGCATTGTCATGTTGAACCCGGAACCCAATGTATGACTGCAACGTGCCGTCGTCTTTAGGGATGGTACATTCAACCTGAATTTTCATCTCAACAATACTTATATTATAACCACAAAAACATACAAAACAAAAGCAGTAAACAAATTTGCAAGAACAAAAATCAATTTTGCTTGTTTAATTACCTTGATCTCTCTAAATGGAATGAGTAAACTTTTCTCAAGCTTGGAATCCAATCCCAAAAGCCTGGAAGCCAACTTAAAGTTCCTGTTGGTAGCTGCAAGTGCATTCATTTTTTTTTCTTTCTAATCCAACTACAAAGGACCTAACACAATATTCAATCTTCTGTCAAAAGATAGATATACACACGAGACGCGGAAAACAATCTTGCAGTGTTACTTATATTAAAATTGAAGCTATAGAATAGAAGTTTCTGGTAGATGAAAACAGATCCATTTATAGCAATATTTATATGAATACACAATAGCAGCCATAGTCAATGTCAACAAATATAAACTAGTAAGAGTTTGGTACATCTCACATAAAATAAATGGATAAGCTAGAGCCAGCAATGTGCCATGCCATGTGTATCAAAGTCACCATTTGACCATAAAAAGATTAGGAACATCAGAGCAAACAAAAAAAAGTTTCAAAGTCTATCAATTGCTTAAATCACCTAAAAAAAGTTGAAATTGAACATTTGATAGTAAAGAGTTGTAATTGAAATATCATTATCACATAAAATATTGTCACACAATTTCAAGAAATCCTAATTAAAGCTTTTTCTTAAACAACTTTTGCATGAAATGAGCAGCCAAACAAACCATTAAGAAGGTTGAAATGGTTTGGAAGGTGTATCTTTATGGAAATTGTGGGAATCATTTGGTTCTAATGACTACAAAATTATGTGAAGAGGCGTGTAGGAACTAAAGAAAAACATAGCTTTAGCAAAGCTAGACAGTCCTATTCTTGTGTTTGAGTTAAATTCATTGTATCATAACTGTCAGATAAAGAGGCCACATAAATTATTCATTTTCACACATATACATGTTCCACGGCTTATTCTACGGATCATTATTTCATGCAGTTATATTAAAATTTAGGAACAAACAAGTAACTCTTTATTTTCTGTAATTTACACATTTTTCGATTTTGGTTCTGTGCAAAAACTTTTACAATTTTATTCTTCTTTATAGTTTAGTTTTAATCTGAATATTTGATGACCCTTTTTTCTTCTTCCTATTTTTGTGTACAATATTTAAACATACATGAACCTCCCCGGAACCTCCCCCAGTTGACATGTTCGTTCTATTTTTACATTTTGCTGACAAGGTTGTGTCCAATACTATTTTAAGAAATAGTTTTTAACTTTTAAGCAACATTTGGTCAAAAAAAAAAGGAAGAACTTTTAAGCCACACTTGGTTTGTGCGTAAGAGAATGCTAAGCCAGCATAGCATTTCACTACTTCAATTACTCAAATAATTGATACAAGATGCAATGAATGAAGTCACAAGCACGCTTATAATATACACTAAGTTTGGCATAACCGTGAACATTTTGAACACCACATTAACAAGGCCTATATATATATATATATATATATATATATATATATATATATATATATATATATATATATATATATATATATATATATATATATATATATATATATATATATATATATATATATATATATATATATATATATATATATATATATATATATATATATATATATATATATATATATATATATATATATATATATATATATATATATATATATATATATATATATATATATATATATATATATATATATATATATATATATATATATATATATATATATATATATATATATATATATATATATATATATATATATATATATATATATATATATATATATATATATATATATATATATATATATATATATATATATATATATATATATATATATATATATATATATATATATATATATATATATATATATATATATATATATATATATATATATATATATATATATATATATATATATATATATATATATATATATATATATATATATATATATATATATATATATATATATATATATATATATATATATATATATATATATATATATATATATATATATATATATATATATATATATATATATATATATATATATATATATATATATATATATATATATATATATATATATATATATATATATATATATATATATATATATATATATATATATATATATACTAAAAAATTAATGGTATAATTACTTTGTATAATTTGTATTGGACTATTAAGTAAATCATCATTTATGAATACATATATTCAAATGTTGTAATTTTTTATATTACAAATAAGTTGGTAGTATTATAATAAGTAATATATTTGAGAAAAAATAAATCTAAAAATATTATAAAAAAATAAATCTAAAAATATTATATTTAATGACAAATAATTTTATAGAAGATGACAAAACAAATTTCCAATAGATTAATGCTACAAAATTGACCAAATTTGTCTGGGATTCTTAATTATGTTATCCAATTCTTGCACATATCCAACCAGTTCAAGTACACATGAGATTCTTATCAATCACACACAAATCAAATAAAAATAAATGGACTAGTATAGTACATTTTTATTGGGCTAACTGACTCTGAAGCAGTCACATTTTATCTTTTGGCATCCAATTAAATTTAGACAGTAGTAATTAATTGTGAAGAAGGTGCAAATTACAAGAAGCTAAGGGGGTAGATAATTAATTCATCATGTATGTCCTGATCTAGCCTATTAAAATCAACACAGAGTCAGCTCAGTTATCTTCCATCAAGAGATTCATACAAAACATGCAATGCTAAGATCAGAAACCTTGGACAAATTCTAATCATAAGGTTTATACTAATTTCACTTGATCCATTAATTAGATAACTAAAATTTGTCAATAAAAAATTCTAATCAGAAAGTCATACTATATTGATAACATAGAAAATGCAGAGAGTTGAGATAACATACCAAGAAAAGTAGAAGGAAATGGTGAACTAAGCTTAACAAATCAGGATGAAATGGTAGAAGTCCTACAAAAGAGTCAAGGCTTAAGAACCCAAAAAACTAATGAGAATAAGAATTGAATTCCCAAACAAAGGAATCTAATTCAATTTTAAAAAGTAAAATCTTTGTTGCTACCAACTATGACAGAAGCAACACAAGTCACTCAAGTATACATGCTTTGGTCAGAATCACACTCTGCAACAGAATATGATGCTTAAATGGTTGTTATACGGTCCTTTCATAACACCCACTAGGCACTATATAGCATAGCATATCAGAATTCTAAAACTCAGCCATACCTTGAGTTGAGCATTACAACAAACACTTGAGGAGCATCATTTCAATACTATTCTAAAAGAGTATAGCATAAAATTGTCAAAGGAAAATATGGGTTACTTACCATTGCAATACTAACTATATATATAAAAATAAATTGGTTGTTTGTTCGTGAATCCAACGCGATTACCACATGTCACTGATTGATCAAAATCATATCACAATGTTTGTCCTCACATGTTTTTGTTTATCTTTTCTAAAAATGTAATTGCATATGGCACACTCACTAAGATTAGCTTAGATATGTTACCACACTACTCTGTTCTTCTTTGTCCCTAGACAATGTCACATATATGGGGTTTGGTTTCCCAAGATGATGGGTATTTCTAACTTTCAAGCTCCATCATCTTCTTTAGAGAGTGCAACAAGCAAACCCTGACATCTATAATTCATCCAATATGAGATTTAATTTGTAAATATATATTGTGGACAACCTGCGGTCAAATTCATAGACTTTAATATTATATTAAAATTCATCTTGATCTTAACTCATTCCGACGAAATCAACTTTTAAAATAATAAATGTGAGTATATATAAAACCTCATTAATCTCTATCTTTAATAAAAAACTTACCAATAATATATTATTTTTCATATGTTTAAACTTATGTTTCTCTAAATTTTCGTTTAGAAATGGCCCGTCATTGAAAATAAATGAGACCACAATAGGGTTCAAGATGACTAACACCAAAGTTGAACCAGTCCAAGTATGGCGTTTGTTAAACTTGTCATACACTATTCATTTCTTCTTTTACTTCATCATCCAACCCCACCTAGAACAATTACATTCTGTACCCCCTCCTCTTCTCTTTATTTAAAATAAAAAAATAAAGGGTTAAAGATGCTTCTACTTAAGAAAACAATTAAATGTAGAGGTGGCAAACTAACGTACCCGTTCTCTGAGGTTCGTCTTGTAAAATTCTGTAAAAAAAATGAGACGGAGTGAAGTGAGCATAGTTAATAATGCAGAATTAAAATCTAGGTCCACTTTGCAAAAAAGTGAGAGCAACTCGGAGAAAGGTCATGGACATTACACATTTTAAACCTAAAAATACAAAAGTTTATGTAAATGACTGTATCTGCAAAAGTTCGCGAAAAAAATGGGACGGGACGAGACGAACACAATAGAAGGTGATGACCTAAATCCTTAGTCCGTCACACATTAAAGTGCAGGCAAAACAGACATGTTCAACGGACCGAACCCGTTTTTTTACCCCTAATTAAATGTTACTCTCTCATATGTATTCCTTTTTCTTATAAGAGCGTTTTAAATACAATTTTTTATTATGATTATTAATTTGTTAATGTTAGTGTCAATGCACTTGAGTGAGGAAGGAATAAGAGAGAGAAAAAGTAATTGTATTGAATTGTTGTAATGAGAGTTATCTACACATATATTTATATACAATAGATTACTTGTAATCCAAGTATAGCTAGCATAACAAACTAACTAACTTGCTAATCAAATAACTAACTTGCATTATATCACAACATACCCCATTATAATTTAAGTTGTCAAACTAATCATAATCAATCTGAACTATTCCTAATTTCTTTTACAAAGTCAGGAATCTGTCGATCTTAAATCCTTTGGTAAAAATGTCGGTCTACTGTGCTTCACTCGAGCAATGTCTCACTTCAAGTTCACCTTGATTTACCCTCTCCCTTAGAAAGTGAAATCTAGCATCAATATACTTACTCCTTCCATGCAGAACTGTATTCTTTGCAAGATTAATGAATGACTTGTTGTCGATATGCAACACCAGAGGTTTCTTCACTTTGACCTCCATCTCATCCAACACAGATCTGATCCAGATTGTTTGACAAACAACATAGGATCCTGCTATATACTCAATTTTACCACATGCTACTTTCTTG